GTGGGAGAAGGTCCTGTGATGTCAGAATGGGGAGGGTTTAAAGGCAGGGTTGAAGGCTAATCAAGATAAGTTGAGTTTGTATTTAAAGCAAACTCAGTGTTAGTTAAGAGTTTTTTTACTGGCTTAATCGCAATGTGTCTTAAACTCTGCCAGCCCGATGACAGCACCAGCCTGACACAAAGGTCTGCAGTAAAGCCGCAAACTGACCTTTGGAAATTCATTGTGGTCCTGCCCTGTTTCAAAATTACTGTAAGTAAATGCAATGGGTTATAACTTATACGGAATTTATGTGTAACAAAAATGCCTGCATTTTAATGCCTTTGGAAAGGGAAGGGTTTTGTAAATAAACATACGGAACGTTGCAGTGGAAGGACTGTTCATCTATTGTTGTTTCAAAGAACCAATATTTAATATTTACATTGAATATCGATAGGAACTTGGTGTTATTTGTTTTGTGTTTGAGCTACTTTTAATGCTGGAAACCAGCTTGACAAATGTGGAAAGGTGGGGCCTACAGTTTTAAACAAACACAATATTAGGCAGTTGAAAAAGTTCTAAGGCTTAGTAATTCTACAATTCATTAATTATTTCAACAATTGTTTTTGTGGTGTCAGATAAATAGGCAGCCATTTTCCCAGCCAGTTAATATAGAGTCCCAGTTAATATAGAGTCCTATAACTTAAACCACTTTCATTTTTCTAACTATAATGGGACAGGATCTGTTTTAATGCAAGAATTCCAGCTTGTGGCTGGAGTTCTACTAGGGTCCCTGATAGGGATGTTGAAAGTTGATTTGCAAGCTCAATATGCAGCTGAACAAACCTACACTGGAAACGCTAATTCTAAATATTCGAGAGAGTTGTTTGAACTACATTGCCTTTTTTACTGAATTTTACTATATTCATCCCTAAGAATTTTTTTAAAGAATGGTGTGCATGCATAAATACTGTAATAACAATTTAACTATTTTGGTCAGAAAAAGCACAAGTTACTAGGTTTAGGGGGAAGGAGAGCAATCGGCACTTTTCCAGTACTGGTGGCCTCTTCCACTTGCAGCATTACTCTTGCTTGAGTAAAGACTTCGCATCATTCTGAGCCCTTAACAAGCAACGAACCTGCAATTGCATGGCTAGCCAGCATTCTTAACATTTGGAACTTTGTTTTGTTTTGGCTTCATGTGTGGCTGGTGTTTTTCCCATTGGGCAGAATAAAGCAATCACCACCGGAAACAGATTTCAAGGGTCATGGAAGGAAAGCATCTGTTTTGTTATGGGGAGGGAGCGCAAGCCTACAGAGAGTCTGGACAGCTAGAGGATGTTTTGGAGACATGTTTTATGGATGAAAAAGGCTCCAACCTTATAGCTGGGGCTCTGAGCTCCAAGTAACTTGCCCCACTACCTGGAAAGTACGGAGCTGCCTGTATCCTCAAGGTCACAAAAGCAGACTTGGGGAGGGGGTTGGGAGGGATTTCTGGAGGGGAGGGACAAGGGGAGACAAGCACCATCTCAAGGTATTATGGCAGGACCGCCAGTCTCCTTCCCTCACACTCCAAGGCACAACACTTAGAGACCAAAACTGGCTAAATGTTTTGCAGGGTGGAGGGAGTGGGGAGGAGTGAGGTGCTTCCATGATCCTTCTTCCCTGCAGATACCCATAATCCTCCCAGTTTGCAGGGTTACAGGCATCTGGATTAGATGCCCCCCTAAAATTGTGGCTTGGGCTTGCTGCCAGTTATGGGGAAAATTGCTTGTGGGATTTCCTCTTCAGGTGTCCAAATAACCTTTGGGGACTATGCCATATACCAGAACAGCTCTGCTTCAGACATCCAAATAGTTTGGCCCAATCTTGATCATTGAGTAAATTTTCTATTTTGTTATGATCGTCATAGCTATTGAACTAAGGTACACAGAAGAACCCAATGTTAAGAGTCCTTCTTTGGAGAAGAAGGAAACAGCTTAGCAATAATTGGGTAGCAGCATCTCTCTCCACCATCCCCAGTGAAAGGTAGCATAAAGACAAGAGTTCTTGGCTTTGGCTTTCGGTGACAACCTGGAACTTCCATCTCCCAGCAAGAGCGTGAGTTTCTGTCCTGCAGCATTTCCCAACTCTTCTCTCTAACTTCCATCAGCTTTTAATAAGTCTTGAAGGCTCACAGGTCCAGCAACAGGTCCACCAATCTCTCTATTTGATGCTTTTAACTTTACTAAGGTCTCCATTTCCAGATTCTCTGTAGGATTAAGACTGGCTCCTTTTCAGGACATCTTTTTCTCTCAGCCATGTAGCTGTGGTATTTGGAGAGGGGCTGGGGGAGAGTCAAGAGCACTGCCAGGAGACCTTTGGCACCAATGGGTATGACTACCACTAAGTTTTGCAGGGAGAAGGCATTTTTTTAGGATCTGGATCGAGGGGGGTTAAATCTGCCTTTCTATTGTGGTGGCAGCAATGTGGATCACCTACCCAGCTGGGCTCCATTTTAATTAAAAACAGAGAAGCCCTGGCATTGTTGAAGTAACAAGGAGATAGGGCCCCATTTCAATTGCTGGATTCAATGGACCATGGGTAGACTGTCTCTTCTTATTTATCTCTACCATAGATAGTCCTTCCTAAGCTAATACCATCTAGAAGTTTTGAACTCCAACTCCCATTCTGGGTGGGGATAATGGGAGTTGTAGCCTGACATATCAGGAGGGCACTAAGTTGGAGGATTTTGCCAAAGGTAGCATCACTCCAGACTTCATCCAGCCACATAATTAAGCGGAGTAGCCTGGGGCATGGCTTTGCTCCTCCAGATATTTACCTAGAGCCACCAAGCAATGGAGCTGCGAGGGTCCACATACAACTAAGTCAACCCCTCCAAAGAAAGCCAGTGTGGTGAAGCGGTTAAGAGTGTGTCTGGGACTCAGGCAAGCTGGGTTCGAGTCCCCACTCTGCCATGGAGCCACTTGGGCGACTTTGGACCAATCACAGACTCTCAGCCCAACGTACCTCACAGAGTTGTTCTTATAGGGATAAGATGGAAAAGGGGAGACAAATGATGTAAGCTGCTTTGAGTTTACTGGGGAAAAGCGGGATATAAATCTAATAAATAAATAAATGAACAAAGATTTTCTCCAATGAGCTTTCAGAGATGGCCTATAGTTGTATTTAAAATAATAACACTGAACATAAATCAAAGGGAAATAAGTGTGCATCTTTCTACAGCTGAATGTGCTATATTACAGGATGCCAAGGTCAGGTCCTCTAAAAAAAGAATTCTGATGCCCTGTAATTGCATATAATGGATGGGTACCACCCACACACACACACACACCCACACACACACACACAGAGGTTCCCATAACATGATTAAGTGCATGCAAGTGCCTTTAGTCCATAAAGATTCTGCCCTTCCACCCCTTGCTTAATAAACCGAGACAGAATTAGCACTGGGTGAGTGGTTCTGCCTGCTGCCAAGAAGGGTTTGTTGAGGGTAAAACTCTGCAAGTAGAGATTAACTTGCCTTCATCCCTGTAATGTGCTGTACAGCCAGGATTTGTGGAATAGGATCAGTGAAGAGCCATACATGAAGGCAGCCCTGGACAGCTGGTGCATATGCTGGTATACATGCCCAAGTTCCAAGTTCTTACGTCTTACATAATCTTGACGGGGTAGGACTATAGCTCAGAGGGAAGAGCAGCTCTGTTGCATAGACAGCACCTTGTTTAGTACCTTCATCTCTAGCAAAAAGGACCGAGGAGAAGTACAACCAGGAAAAATCTCTGCCTAAGATCTCAGAAAGACAGCACTTAGGTCCCAGCGGGCTAAGTCCAACAGAAGGCAGTCCATGTGTGTCCTTCGATGCTCTTGCAAATGTACAGCCCAAAATACTGAAAAAACTCCATCCACTCCAGAATTAAGAACGCTTAAGTAATGGTTAAGGTTGGTAAACGTTCAAGGCTCGCACTGTTTGCCATTTGGATAAAAAAAATCAGGGATGAATGAGATATTCAGTCCCTTAAGTTTATCTTATAGATTTATCAACTTCTCCCCTCCTTTCAGCAAGCAAAGAAGAGAAGCCTTTGAAATCTGCCTCAAGAAAGTATGCAGAAAATGCATCTCTGTGAGAAAAATGCTCAGAAAAGGGAATTTCAGCCATGTAATCTATTGGTGAGAAATGCATACCTTTCAAAATGCAAACAGAAATACATTAGAAGAAATGCACACAAAACTGTATGATTTTTTTATGGATTTTTTCAAATTGTAGGCTCATACACAGCAGAGCAAAACAAAGCTTGTCCTCAAAAAACTTGAAAATATCAGCAAGATTAAGATTGACAGATGTCTCCATCTTCAGTGGAGATTCCTCCCACATGTCGAGTGTGTAAGACCAAAGGCCAAATGCCTCTCTGGTCCAGCATCCTGTACCCTTCCCGCTCCTCTGCACTGGCCAATAAGATGCATGTGGGAGGCTCGTAAGCTTCCTAGCAACTGGTATTCAAAGCCATGCAAAGCCATTCTGCAGCCTGAAGCTTTCTCTCTTTCTATCAATATACAGAAGTTCTCGAATCTGGAAATCTCTTAACTGGCTTGTTCAGGGATTGCAGGTTGGTGGCACAGCACATGGCTGTCCTCCAACCTGCTATTTCCCACTTCCAGGCACCTGAAACTCTTCCCACCCCCCACCCCCCCTTCACTGAGGGTTTTCACTACATCTTCTAGCAGTGGATTCCAAGGCTTTAACCAAAACTGTAGGGAAAGATGCTTCATGCTGTCTATCCTGGCTCCTGCCCCCCATTAAGTGTCCTTGTTTGGCCCTGCGTCCTGGTCTTAGGCATCCTCTTTTTTTTTTTTTTGGTAAAGTTGTTCCATATTTAGAAACACCATATATAAACAGGAGGTCCCTAACATGTATTTTTGTATTTAATGGTAATTTATTATGTTCTATTATATTTCAATGTATTTTATTGTGTTGTAAGCCGCCCCGAGGCTTCGGCAAGGGGCGGCATAGAAATGTTATAATAACAACAACAACAACAACAACAACAACAACAACAACAACAACATGGTGCCCACAGGCTCCTCCATTTGTGCTCATGAAGCTCCCCATTCCCCGTTTCCTTCAAAAATTCACTTTTGATTTTAAAAACCATGAAAACGTTAGTGTGACAACGTGACCAACTTATCTAAGCCCCCTACCAGGGAAAGGAATTCCAGGACCTTGGAGGCACAACTGAGAATGGCATTTTCAGGTCCTGCTGATGCGCAGATGGTGCTTATGGGAATGCCTTCCCAGTTCACGAACTCAAGAGCAGGGCTGGAACAGGGAGGTGACTGTTTAGATCCACAGGATGTTACGCTGCTTCACGCTCATTTCATGTTTCAGCGCTGTTTACACTGGACTTGCTTCGTGACAAATTATCTGTTCCCAGTTTCTTTTCATTTTTCTTTCAGGCTCCACCAGTTTCACTGTGGACTGGGGAGAAAAGCTGGCTTCGGTGCTCCACAGCATGACTCCTCGAGATCACGTGAGGAAGATGTCCATCCTTGGAGAACATGGAACCTTGGAAGACAAACATTTATACCGGTTAGCAAGCGGCATGGCAGCAGGCGGTAAGAAGGTGCCTGGGGCCCGGCGGGGAATGTTCAGACTGAGTGTTTCTGGGAGAAACAGCTGCCACCCTGTTCCACCTGATTAAAATGTTTGTACATTTAATTAGAACTAGGCCTTTCTTATCAATGAAATGTATCATGTGCGCATGTGCACACAAATCTATGCAAATACAGGCAATTCGTTTTTTAAAATTAAATGATTTAAGAAATCTAATACAAAAAAATTAGGTAACTCAAAAGCATGCAAATGCTTTAGGGATGGCAGTTAATCTCCTAAAGTATATTATTTCTCTGGCAGATGAATATTTTATAATCTCATTTTCCTTTGGACAATCAGGCTGGTATAAAGTAATGTCTGAGAAATGACTTATCAATGAAAGTCTTAGAAATTGGGAAGAAGGGAGTAATACTGTTTTGCTTCATTTTCAATGTAGATGCTATTCGTTTGTTTGCTTATATTTCAAGGCAGAACAATATGTTGAAACAATTTTAAAAAGAGGATTAAGAAAGGAACACTAAAAAAATCTCCAAAAGAATAAATTCAGCTATTTAAAAAGCAGTAAGAGCTGAGTGGAGCGGAAGCACACTACAAGCTAAGCAATGGAAGGCCTCTTTCTTATTTTATTTATTAATTAGATTTATATCCTGCTTGTTTTCCTTTTTACAAAGAACTTAAAATGGCTTCCATCATTCTCCTCCTCCAGCTCTCAATCTTATCCTCACAACAGCAAACCTGTGAGAGGCTGGGTTGAGTATCTGTGACTGGCCCAAAGTCACCCTGTTGGCTCCACGGCTGAAAAGGGATTAAAGTCCCAGACATGCTCTCTTAACCACCACACCACACTAATTGAATTTCTTCATGGAGAGAGGTCATGTTCATAGGTGGAGAACATGGATCAAGCCTTCCAGATATCCTTCCTCCAAGCCATTTTATGGCCTTACAGGCAAGAGCTGGCACCATGAATCTGGCTCAGAAACAAGAGCAAAATAAGTGGAATTGGGTGCAGGATCAGTCCAATATGGTCTATAGTGTACAACCAGAAAGCCAACATGCTCCAGCTTTCATCCCACCTGCCCCTTCTGCACACTTTTCAGGACCAGCCTCACATACAGTGTTTCATTAGTCTACATGGAAAGTGGGAGTTTGGCCAGATCAGTCTCCTCCAGGAATGGGTACAACTGGGGCATCGAAACTACATATTTACATAAAGATATACTCTTTGCATTAGAACTGCGACAGCGACAAGAGATGATCATGAGAAACCAGATGATGGCAGTAAACCCACAACTGATGGGAGCAGGACAACCAAGAATCCAGGGGATGCCCTCCCAGTTTGAGCCCCGGTTCATGGAAAGGTAATTTCATAACTAAAACCCAACCTTCGGTCTGCATATTGAGCACACAAGGAAAAGATATCCTCCAGCTGTCATATGGATTAAAAGAATGAGTAGATGAATATCCAGGGACTAAACTACAACATAATGTTACCATCTGGAACCAATGTTGGTGTAGATCTCTCTCTATATGCCAAATATTCAATATTTTGAAATAAATTAAGTATTACTGTGAATCAGTGATGTGTACTATGCATATATTCCACTATTGTTCAATGATGTGCAATATTGACATTACAGATGTAGATTGTCATATCACATATCTGAACATATACTGTGGTTTCTACCCAAAATAATATTAAGCACAATTAATCAATGCTTTTAAGCCATCTTACCTCTGGGTTGTACTGTACCCTCAATTTCAGAATAAGATCAAGGTCAATATTGTGATTTATGAGCTCTCTTCTCCATGTGAACACTGGCAATTGTTTGTGTAAAGCAGGCAGGAAAATGTTTTATGTATTGTAAGTAATCCTATGTTGTATTTCAGAAATGAAAAATTACAAATTTGTGGCTTAGCAACTATAAACAGTACAACTAATAGAAACCAATAAAGCACCCCACATTACAATTCCACAAAAACTAAAAAGTAGAAGAGCCGGAGAACAAAACAATAAAACAATAAAATGTCAGCCTAAATAATTCTTTTAGAAGAAGAATGAAGAAAGTAGGACCTTGGATAACTAGGTCAGGGGAGATGCTGTTCAGCAGGGGGCTAAAGCTGAAGTCTGTTGTAGGCTGACAAGGGATTAGCATTGTCCCTCCTGGAGTTGCTGTCTGGATTGTTGAAGAACTCTCACCTGATTTTGCAGTCCGAGATTTCTGCAGGGTTGGAGAGATGGCAGTTATTCTGGATTTTTATCCTTTGAACCAGATATTGGTAGGGCTGTGTCTTCCAGCAGGAAGGGCTCTGAATAGAGTCCTGACTGTCCTGTCTCTAAATAAGTAACTTGTGCTTTGTCCTTATCTCAATTTTCAATTGCTTGTTAGAAAATCCAAACATTGAGGTTCATGATGGTAGCACAGGTTCTCTGATCTATTTTGCCTATTAGTGTCCAAGAATCCCCTTTCTGGAACAAACTTGTAAAGTTTACATGTGGAACAGATCTACATCCCACCTGCCTTAAATAGATGTTTGTCTGCCATCCTAGAGATTTGTTACCTTCGACTGAGATACTGGCATCAGCAGATCCCAGGCAGATCCACATAGCTTCTCACCTTGGACCTTCAGCTCCACAGCACGCCAACATGCCAAATGTATTATCCAATCGTGTGTACCAAGGACCAGGTACGTGACAGAATTAAAGCACTGGATAGGAGTAGTGGGAAGCATTCCATTCATTTCTTCTAATTAAGCTAATAAATGTATTTTGAGTTGGAAAGCAGTTTGTTGTTCACTGATTAGGAGCTGGTCATGCATAACTCTAGCATGTGTAGAATATACTCAAGGCAGAACCTAACAGCAAGTCTGGAGCACATATGTTCTTCTCTGCTACACACACACCAACATACATGTATGCACACACACACACACACACACCATGAACATGAAGCTAAGTTTACACATGCAAATGCCCACATGAATAATCAAAACGCATATAATTTACCTGCCGAGGAAAAGAAATGCAAGGCTGACTTGTCTCATTCCAGAAATGAGCATTTCCACCTGTTTTGGATTACTTTAGAACTGCTAAATCTCTGCTGCACCGCAGTTGCTCCCACTGGCTCAAAGGCATAGCAGGATGTTGTAGTTAATGTGCCATCAAGACATCTCTGACTTGCCCTGTCTTTGACAGCCCTGCTCAGGCCTTGCAAGCTCAAGGAAGTGGCCTCCTTTAGGGAATTGATCCATCTCATAATTGTTCTTCCTCCTCCTGCTCCTCTTCCTCCTCTTCTGCCTTTGTCTTTTCGTAGCATTATTTTCTTCTCTAGTGAGCCTTGTCCTTTTATGATGCACTCAAAGTACAAGCACTTAAGTTTTGTCAGCTTTACTTCCAGGAAAAGTTCTGGCTTGATTTGATCTAAGACATACTTCTTCATCTTTCTGTTGATTCAGGGTATTCTCAAAGCTCTCCTCTAGCACCATGGTTGAAGAAAGAATTTAGTCAGCATGAGAGACTGTATGGTTATGCCACTTTCATGCAGTCTTGTAAAACATCCTGTTGAAGCTTTCAAATAGTAGCTTCTGCAGAAAAGTCCTAAGTGTGTTTATCAGCAGCAGATCCCAGTGAGTTCAGTGGGATTTAAATATACTTAGGATTGCTGCCTACCTGCAAAGCCCGGTTCCTATGGTGGTTGGGCAGTATTGTACCCATCAATTCGTTCTTTTTCTGATCTTCAGGGTTGAGTGCCAGAGTTTATGTGGCTGAAACTGCCCTATCCATATAAGAAGCGGGGATCCACAGACTTAGTGGAACCTCCAAATATGTAGAAGTGTAAAAAAATCTTTAGGGAAAAAAACCTTAAGGTGTTGCGGGAAGGTGTGATGAAGTGATCCGGAGGAAGGACCAGCCCGGCCCAATGAGGATGCAGCCTGCTCAGTCATTACAGAAGGCTAATTGATGGGTCAAAGCAGAAATATGGAACGTGATGTCCTAGGGGAGCATATGGCTAACTGCCCGAACAATAAACAGGAGAACGCCTTACTGCAACATTCTGTTGTTGATCCCATTGGAAGATACAAGGACAAGCCCATTACACACCAACAACCAATATATAACATGAGCCTGTAAGGAATGCAGGACTGTGTCAGTTTCAGTTTCTCATCTTCCTGATCGCTGATTCATTTCAGCCTCTTTCCATATCAGTTTTCAAATTAGGCACAAAAAGGGCCACAGAAATATTTCTACATGTTTGCATGTATCTTTTCTCCAATATGTGCATTTTGTACATACATTTCCTAGACTGTGTGCTTTTTGAAAACAATTTTCCCTAATATATGTTTCTGTCTATATTTTCCTTAATACAGTGGTACCTTGGCTCACGGATGTCTTGGTTCACGAACAAATTGGGTCATGAACAAAAATTACTGAAAAATTTTGACTAGGGTCACGAACACCACTTTGGGTGGCGACCAAGATCGCAGCCATCCCCCCCCCCCCCCCGTGTGGGGAGATGGCTACGATCGCAGTTGCTTTCGTGCAGGGAAGGCGTGCGTGATCAGAGGTGCAGGAAAGACGGGTGCAATCTTGGCCATCTCCCCCCTTCCCCAACCAGCACGATCGCAGCCATCTCCCCACCCCTGAGTGGGGAGATGGTTGCAATGGTGCTGGGGAGGGGGGGGATGGCCAAGATTGCTGCGATCTCTCCCTCCCCCAGCGCACTGTTTGCGCCCATCTCTTCCTTCCCCAGCGTGACCAGGATCACGCCTGTCTCTCCACCCCACCCTCCAGCATGCTGGGATGATAGGCGGGTGCCAGGATGACAGGTGCAAGCAGGGATGATGGATGCGATCTCTGTCGTGCTGGGGGGCGGGCGGGGAGATGGCCGCGCTTGTGCTTGGGGGGGGGGGGGGGGGGGGAGATGGCCATGTTCTTTCTTGTTGTCACTTGTCTTCACATTTTTCTGATTTAAAAAATGGTTACAGAACGGATTAACCTTATTTAAATTGAACCTTATAGGGAAATTTAACTTGGCTCATGACCAATTTGGGTCACGACCAGAGTCCTGGAATGGATTAAGTTCGTGAGCCAAGGTACCACTGTATATGTGCTTTTGCACACCCTTCTCATACATAAAACTGCGTAAGTTTGTAAAGAAATTCAGAATGAAGACATAAGAGGAAAAGGAAGACCAGCTATGAGATGAATTAATTCTGTAAAGGAAGCCATAGCCTTCATATTACAAGAGCTGAGCAGGGCTGTCAAGGCCAAGACATTCTGGATGGCTTTCATTCATACGATCACCCTAAGTTGGAGATGCCAGCACATAAAATCAATATCGTTGGCTGTGTGAAAGCAAGACAAAAAGGCTATGCTGCCACCTATGGATAAAAACACTGTATGCACCTTTTTCTTTCCAGCACTGTAGGAGGAAAGGAGCTGGGTTCAGAGTGGCCTACATCTCCATCATTGAGATGCAGACAAATACACAGCAAAGACATGCTAGCAATTCTTCACTAGCCACAGACAGATTCCAGAATACACATCTGGTTTTCCCTTATCGTGCATACAACATAACTTATAAATCCTATCCCCTCTTAGCAAGCATTCACATGTTCTCCAACATTTTCCAAATAGAATTAATTTCTGTGCTACAAAGTAGTTTCTTGTATGCCTAGGAGAAAAGTGGTGTGGGTATGACTTGTCTCTAGAATTTGGTGATAACATGCTCCATTAAATAATTTTATGCAATAATTTTCAAAATGTCCACCAGGGTAGGACCACATAACTGTTCATCAAGATACTGTGTATAAGATACTGCATTTTTAAAAATTATGCATTCGAAGTACTGGTAGCATAGTGGAGCCAGGGCTTACAGGGTCAATGTTCTAGGATTTCTTGATCAATAGGAGCAATGACATGGCCTGCCGGCCTTCTCAGCCTTCCCTGTTTTCTCTAAGCTTGGCTGTAATAAGCACAGCAGGTGGAGGAGCACCGATTCTCCTATTCTGTTGTGAGCCACACCTGTCGTAATGCCAAATATTCTTTTTTGTGGGGGGATTGATCCCTATATTATTACGCACCATCGAGTCTCTGACTTATGATGACCCTACAAATGAATGCCCTCCAAAATGTTTCCCGGACAGCCCTGCTTGGCCTAGAAGGGGCAACTAAGACACGTTAGTGTCACAAGACACCTGCTCCTGTTGGAAATTGTAACACTTGCAGCTGCCTGCCTGCCTGCCTAACCAAAAATTGTGGTTACGTGGGCTTCTACTGTGCACCTGTGCTTCAGAATTTGACAGTGCACCACTGTCAAGCCTTTCTGCTCTGTAAAATTGGATACTAGCAATAATATAATACATTTCCAATAGGTCTCTTGATCCTATGTGTTCTTACCTGGAAGTAAGCCCTTAGAGCCAAATGGGACTCAATGCTCAAGAGGCATGTACACAACTATGCTGTTAGCTGCCTCTCAATTTGTTGTGATGAGCATTAAAACGTGCATCGATCCACACGTACATGAGAGAAGAATTAAACTGCTCATCTTTAACTCTACCCTTTTTTTAGGATATAGTTTCCTCCAGCCAGAATCCATGGAAGCTGTAACCAGAAGGCAGGAATTGGTTCAGAAGCAAAATATTGCCAGGTAAAGTGAATGCAACACCTCCTGGAAGCCAGCATGGAAGTAAGAAGGCAAAAGGAAGAGCCTGCCTTGATTTCCCTGTTCCATTTCTTCACTGCTCTCTGACTAGACTGAATTAAGGCAGGAACACCAATAGCTTGGTTAACACCCATTAGGCTCGTTCTTAGAAACTCAGTTTTGACATGATTGTACTGACATGCATAGGTCAGACTGGGCTAAGAGACCTGATGAAGCAGGGATACTGTGCTTGTGAACCAGTGCCAGGTCCTGCTAAAGTGAGGGGCATGTTGCTCAGAGAGCAGCAATTGATGCTGGAGGAGAGCAGTGTGTGCCACTTGGCCTTCCCTGCAACACCTAAGCTAGCCTACTATCCTCAGGTAAGGCAGAAGATGCTGCTTCACCAATGGTCATGAAGGAAGATCCAGCTTCCCGAATCTGTACCTGGAACGGCAGGAAGCTTCTTGGCCTTGCCTCAGGCAGCAACTGTGTTGGTCAGGACCTGACGTAAGGTGCCGTGATCATATAGTTGTGGTGTTACCGCATGATGAGCTCACCAGCCATGGGAAGATGTTAAGCTGCCTTAAGGTTATTGCTCAATACAGTGCACTGTGCATGTGCTATGTAAAATATGTGTGAGGAGATGTGTGGGAGAATCCTGCCCGCTTTTGTCTTAGACTCTACCCACCACTGGCCTGCAGTGCCAGAAGACTGCCCAACATTGATCCTCCAGGTTCCCACCTTCTCCTGCACACTAACTGGCATTGGTTGTCCAGCCTTCCAGGCAGGGGTCTTTCCCAGATCTACCTGGAGGCTGGGGATGGAACCTGTGGCCTTCTGAATAGAGAGCATTTGAACTGCCACTGCACTAGGAGTCAGTGCTTCAGTAGCATGTTGCACTGGCTTCAACCTCTGCTTGCACGAAATGGGGGGAGTGGGTGTCTCAGGATTGCGTCTCCATTTGCTCCATTCCTGTGATGTCATGCTCTTTGCCTAGGATGGAGATGGAGATGAGTGCCATTTTTCAACAAAAGGAATTGGAGAAGGCGCATCGTAAAGGGCTGCTGGGGCTTGAAGGCCCCTTTCTGTACCACGGCATCCATGCTAGCCCAGTTGCTTTCCGAGGGAGACACAGGATCCCTGAAGGCCACCTTCCAAATGACTTATACATCCACCGCAGCACCCTTGATGAACCTCACAACAACACCATACTCATGGCCACGAGTCCCTATCCACCCATCAGCACTTTGCAAAGGGAGAGAGGCCGTCGGCCAGGCAGAAGAGCCGGGAACCAGAAAGCTGCCGACTGCAACGTCAACGGTATCAAGAGCCAAACTGAGGACAAGGGAATGGACCCTGCCTCTACAGCTCCCGACGTGGAGAAAGAGGATAAAAAAGAAGCAGAGGTGGAGATGCTGAGCAAGCACGAGCAAAACAAAGTCCATGCAGAGTCATCTACAGCAGTTGCCCAAAGTGGCAAGGAATATGGACGCGGCCTTAGAAAAGACTCAGGGGGCCACGAACTGCCCAGTGAAATGAACAGTTGCAGCAACGGCAATGAGAAAGACCCCCACACCTCCTGCTCGGCCTTCGACGAAAAATATGCGTACCCATCTGCATTCACCTTCTCTGCTCTGCCATATGGCTTCTCCATACCTAGCAATCCACTGCTACCTTCAGGTAAATTTACAGCTCCGCAATTTGACTGTTGCATTTCAGCTGTGTGAGATACACAAACTTTTTAAAAGGAAACAAAAGTGTCCCTCTCATTAACCTTGAAGTGCCACTGTAGAGCAAAGATAGTTCAAGAGGAGATTACAGTGCAAGGCCCATGAGTTAGAATTGATTCATTATTCTATTGCCAGAATCTTGAATCAGGATAAAGCCTGTTGTTGTTGTTTTAAAAAACACACTTATGTAGTACCAGGGTGTCCGTGTCATCAGCAACAGGTACACTATGAATTACCACTCTTCATAGTGTGATGACCACTTTTTGCATTTTCTTTCCTTCCGATTTCCCCTGTCCCCACCATCACATGGGCCACCACCCAGAGCATTCCATAATACTCTCTACCTGTGGACTATGGCCATGAACATTCATGCCAGAATCCGTTTGGTTAGTAGGCAAGGTTCTACTCTTCATGATTTTTAGAAAACTGTACGACTCTTTGGCTGCTCTGATGAAAACTTTTGAAGGAGTTAAACAATTTTTGACCAGGTGAGATGCATGGGATGAGGTCACGGACTGACGGAATAGGAGAAAAGAGGTTTGGTAGCCACTGCCTATCTGCTTTCAGGTACAATCAACAGCAAGGCCAGAAACTTGCTTGTTAAACATTGAGCTCAGTTGCTCAGGAATCCAAATTCTGCACCAGGCATCGTTTCTGTCTAGGATAGTCATGGATGTGTTCATGGAGGAGAAGGTTATCAGCAGCCAGTAGACTTGTTGGCTGTGTCCTGCCTCCACTATCAGAGGCCGTATGCCTGTACACAGGAATTGCTGAGGAGTTTAGATGAGCAGAACTCTTGCATCCATCCTGCCAGAGGGATCCTGAGGGCAGCAGGTTTGCCACCATCTGCATGCGTGCTGGACTGGCTGGAGCACTGGTCTGATCCAGCTGTTCTATTGCTAATTATTATTATTATTATTTAAATAGAGCACTAATACACATCACCATGACCAGGCGACCTGGGTCTGCTGTCCAGGTGCTCTCTGTTATAATTTAGTTGCTGTCCCTTCTTAGGGTCCTTTATCTTTCAAACAGCTTCAGACTATTGCTTGGCAGTCTTTCCAATAGGGAACAGCTTCTAATAAAGCCCTCCAAAGAGAGGACTATCCTTTGTAAAGCAGGACACATGCCACCCTAGCTGAATGTGAAATGCATATGCATGATGGAAAAACTACGGTGCAGTACAGAGCAATGTCAGGACCAAACGACACAGAGCTGGGAAGCTGTGTGCAGCACACCCAAGTGGCCACATTTAGCGTTCTGGGGTGCTAAGGCAGCAGGGCTCGGGAGATACCTGAAAGGTTGGCCGGGACAAAAGCAAAAGAGCAGGCAAGCATTATGCCTTTCTTTGGGGCAAATCGCCTCTGCTCCAGGAATCCTGGGAAGAGGAAAGCAGCGTAGGGGCTACTTTCCATGCAGCTAAGGTGCATCTAGCACCAAGCACAAAATAGAGATTCTAGACACACAGGTTAGTTTTAATAACCTTTTTCTTTCTTTGCCAGTGATTGAATGCAAAATAGAATTCATACCTATCCCCCTGTTTTTCTTTCATACCCTTAGCAGCTTCCAACCTGATCCTGAATGGGGAAGACCTGTCTTCCATGGAAGATATTCGCAAATGGACTGTCGAGGACGTATACAATTTCATCATCAGCCTGCCAGCATGTGCAGACTATGCACAGGTAGCCTTCAGTGCCGAAACTGACTTCACAGGTTGCAAGGGAGTGACTTTAAAAACAAGCAAACCCGAAAAGTTCAGGGGCGGTTTGGCCAGGTCTGTGGTGTGCAAGGGGCGAGCTAAAGCCACTGCTATCCAAAGCCTTGCCACCCATCGACAGCCAAAGTGGAAGGTGAAGGGAGCACCTGTGCCCAGCCCAGTGCCTCCAGTTTCACATGCTAGTTTATGGGCTGGCTTAGAGCCCTGCTCTGTTTGGGATCACGCTGGGGGGAGAAAGGAGCTTAGCACCCTGTGGATCTTCTCCTCCTGCCACAAATGCCTGTAAACTGCCTGTTTTCGGTTGCAAAACCACCCAAGCAGCACCAGAAGGGAAGTCGCAGTGGCAGAACCTTCAGCTACTGTTCCTGGGGCACCTCCACAGACAGACCTCCCTCTCTCTGTAGGAGGAGAGCAAAGTCAACTGCATGCAACAGCCGCTCCACCAGTATTCTAGGAGGGGCACGGGGTGGCTGCCTAAGCCCCATTGATTTCAGTGGGAGATAGTAGACTATTTCTTTAACTCTCCCATTTAAAATAATGGGATTTAATGAGCCTACCTCTGGCTGGATTGTTGCCCTACATTTTCATATAATTTGCATTAAAATTAAATTTTTAAAAACTATGTGGGAATACGTGCCCCAGAATAAGTGTTTCAGTAGCGCCAAGAAAAGCTAAAGCCATATTTAAATAGGCCCAGTGAATGGTCCATGCATTCTAGTGCTGCATCCAAACCAGATACAGATCAGTTTAAGCACTTGAGTGGGAACCCCTTGTGCGAACAGCATTAACGGCTTAAGGAACAATTACAGTTCAAAAATTAAGACAAGCTGCACTGGGGACCCAGGAGATCCAGGTTCTAGTCCCCACTTAGCTATGAGCCCACCAGGAGACTTTTGGCCAGTCCCTGCCTCACAGGGTGGTTGTTATGAGGATAAAATAGAGAGGAGAAGTTAATACTATGCCTCGTGTTGCTTGCAAGAGGAAGAAAAGCAAGGTATAAGTGCAATATAATAACATCATGGTCTTCTAAGAAATATTCAGTGCTGAGTAATACAGCAACTTCTGTCTTAAAAGACTGGTAATTTTATACAGTCTCATTACCAGTATTTGCAATTTGCTTAGCCCCCTTACAAGACTAAGGGAATGGTCCTATGGCCCCTAGATATTTTTGTAGAGGGGCATAGGATACTTCCAATTCCCAGCTCCAATCTCAAATCCGGGAATCAGTTCTCTGGTCCTCATCCCCGTCCCTCACTCCCTCTCAGGTAGGGTGGGAAAAAACTGCCAGCTGCTCTCTGAGGTCAAAAACAGACCTTCAATGTGTGGGGAGGGGAAAGGAAGGAGTCTGGGGCAGCCAGGAGCTGAGCTATTCTGAAACTCCTCCAGGCTCCTTCCCTTTGAGATGCTTTATCTAGATGGCTGAACACTGCTGTCTCATGAAAAGGCATTGCTGGAAGAGCAAGGAGACAGAGATTGTCTCTGCCACTTCTTCCCAGGAACTGCTGGGAACAGCCAAAAATACACCCCTGCCCTTAACCTGTTAAATTCAGGAGACGGTGACAACTGCCAGCGCAAACCCAAAACATTAAGTCTCTGGAGAAACAGCAGAAGAGGGACAGTGACTCTGCCTTCAGGGACCCAGGGACCCCCCCACTCCAAAACAAGTGGGGGTGGTCTGACCCCCTGAGGGCCCCCTCCACTGCACCCTTAAAATAGGATGTTGGACTAGATAGCCTTGACCTGCCGTTGTTCTTCTTGCGTTCTTATGTCTGCATTTGTGAAGGCGTAACTTCTCTGTAAGTATCAGCAGAAAGACCAACATGTGTTGTGGGCAAAAGATGTCTCCACCTCTAAAACATAGTTCAGTTACGGGGTCTATCTCTTTAGCCCATTTCTGAAAGGAATACAATTCAGTTTTACTCAGTTCTCCTCAACTCATTAGAACTCATTGTTGCTACCCTCTCTTTGTTTTGCTGCCACAATTTGAAAATGTTGAACAGTGTTTTTAAACCAACAATGTGATTTGTTTGTTTGTTTCATAAGATATTTAAAGATCATGCCATTGATGGGGAAACCTTACCGCTACTCACAGAAGAACATCTTTTAGACACAATGGGATTAAAACTTGGACCTGCGTTAAAGATTCGCTCTCAGGTATTGTGAACAGGGACAGAGCCATTTAAATTATTGACCGAAGGTGCAAGATTTACAAACTTTCTCACTGTGAGTTTATCACAAACTGAGCTTTAGGGGGCACTGTCTCCCTGGTCCTTAGCAAGGTATCTGTTGCATTGTAGATTCAAAATGCAGTCCACTGTCTAAAATCAGATATAGGCGTCCTACAACGGTTTGGTTACTATGGGGATTTCAGAAATGGACATACATTAGGTTTTTAGGGTGTAGCAGAGAACAGATTCTATGCTCTGCAGTCTCCAAAACAGCATTTTGGCTGTGAATATCTAACTCAGAGACTGAAACATCAGAGATAATACTTTGTAAAGCCAAAGATGGAATAGAGTTCAGTACAGATGCATTTCTGTGTTTGTCATAAGCTATAAAAAAACTCAAACTATGATACATAAAATGGCTAATAAGAACCCGTATTTTATGAATTATTGCTGTGGGCAAAAGAGAGGTTAACCAGAATCACTTGACATTACAACAGTCGTGTAGGTCACAACACGAGATTCAGAAAACATTAAAGCAGAAATGGCTGCGTTGAATAATATGCCTAAACATCTGTTTTTCTGTTAGCAAAAATCTTTGGAGGATTTGACTGATTTTCGGGAACAGAAATGAATTCCTACTGTATATAGGGCATTATAAAAAAGAATGAATTTATACTCAGTTTGCCCTGTGCCACAAAAAGAGAGATGGGCATTGTAGTGTTGGCTACATTCTGCTCAATCAAAAGTAATTGAGTTGAATGAGATAATCTTCTTAATAAGGCCAGAAATGGAAAACGGCAGCCCGTGGTGCCATTGTATTACTACCCACTTGGACCATATTTTATTTATTTATTTAAAACATTTCTATGCCACCCCCATCGCAAGAAAGCCTCGGGGCGGCTCACAACAAAAACAAACAAACGCATATAAAAATTATACAATAAAAATATTAAAACCTGGTGCATCTCGGCTTAAAAATTTTTTTTTGTTAAAAAACCTACATAGTAAATTAACAATTAAAATAAGTTTGAAATAAAAAGGTCTTAGCCTGGCGTCGAAAAACAAATAACGACGGTGCCAGGCGGACCTCTCTGGGGAGCGCATTCCATAGATGGGGCGCCACCGCAGAGAAAGCCCTCCTCCAGGTACTCACCCTCCTAATATCATTCACAGAGGGTTCCCGGAGAAGGGCATCTGTTGCTGATCTCAAGGGGCGGGAGGGCATATATGGACGCAAGCATTCCTTTAGATACCCAGGGCCCAAGCCGTTGAGGGCTTTATAGGTCATAACCAAGACCTTGAATTGGGCCTGGACTTCAATCGGGAGCCAGTGGAGCTGACGGAGAACTGGGGTTATATGAGAACAACGCCCAGTCCCCGTCAGCAGCCTGGCAGCTCGGTTCTGCACCAATTGAAGTATCTGGACCATCTTCAAGGGTAGCCCCACGTACAGCGCATTGCAGAAATCTAATCGGGAAGTTACCAACGTGTGTGTCACTGTCGCCAGGCAATCGTTGTCCAGGAAGAGACGCAGCTCCAGGAAGGGACTTTTAACCATGCAATGATGGTTAAAAGTATCAGAGATACGAATTCCAATTTGCTGAAATGTACTTTACTGTGGGGGTGGGGGGGTGGGGGAGTCCCAAAAGAAACCATGGTGATTGTACTACTTAGACTAAACTGTGATACCAAGTTGGATGGTGAACTTGAAAAGCATCTGTTGCAGTAATGGCACAATCCTATGGTGTCCCAACATTAACTGGGAGGTCATAGGATTATTTTGAGTCCCAGTTCTGAGACTGTGTGATCTTGGAACTGGGATCCCAAAGGCCCAGACTCTGCCCCACCCCACTCTGCCTTGCAGACGGCATGGAAAGAACCTCACTCGCTGTCCCCACCACAGGGGACCTCAGAGAAGGTAAAAGGAGACACGCTTGTGGGATGGGAAGGAGACCGAAGCCCAGGACTTACATCACTTCCTAGGAGCTCCCCAGTCCCTTTCCTTCAAAGTGTGTTTTTGCACATTAGAGTCTATTTTCAGACATCAAAGGGTGTTTAATGCACTAATTAAAGGGTATAGGCATAATTCAATTCCTATGGCCTTTATATTGGTCTTGGTTCTCAAAAAATGCTGCAGAGTACACAAGGAGATCCTTCGGATCACCTTGGGGAGCTTAATTTGAAAAACACAAGAACAATTTTTGAACCTCCCTACATATTGGTACTATACTGAGTTTAGAAAAGAAAATTTTATATCAACATTTTCAAATTGGGTAAAATATGCTTGCCTCCATACAACTTTAACAAATACAGTGACTCTGATACAGCATGCAGTAATTTTAATCGATTGCCCTAAAGGCACTGAACTAGCTGTGAAACTCTGGAAAGAAAACCCAAGTAAATTAGTTAAACAAACCCCTCCAACAAAAAACCCTAAAATCCATTGAAGGGGTGCATTATCATTTATAAACTATTACCCTGCTGTTTGCAGTTCAATAGGACAGAGCATTGTTATGCAGATTGTTAAGTTTTAAATTATCTGTACTAACTGGAACCTGAAATCCATTATTATGCTGATTATAACCTCCTATGGAAAACATTCAGTCAAGCAAAGGTCTTTCATATGAAACATTTGCCTTGCCTGAGGCAGTTTTGCCTGGGGTGACAAAATGACCCCACAAAACAGCCAATGCTATTTTTTTAAAGTAAGATGAAGGTTAAATTTGGCAGTACATGCAACTGACTTTGTTTTTTAAAGTAGTTACTCTAACCACTTATCTTTTTAAAGGTATCCCGGCGCCTGGGCAATGTGTTCTACATGATGAATCTTCCTCTGTCGGTGCCCACTCCCTCTGTCACCAGCAAGCCTTCTGATCCTGCCCTAGATATTCCATCTCCACTTCATTGCAACAATACTGGTGATGTTCTGGCCAGTCCTTGCTCCCAGGAACCTGAAACTTCAAAAACTGTTGTGCAAGTAGTGGCTGAAAGCAGGGAAAATGCACCTGATGTTGCTGAAGCTCAGACTGATTTCCAGATTCTCGGCTATCCCAAAAACTGAAACTGCTCATCCAGTAGAACTGGAGCTGCAACAAAGGACACCTGTGGGTCTCTAGAAGACATGTAAAATTTGGAGATGTGAAATGACTTTGGTACAATTTATCACATTCTTTCTTAAAAAATAACACATACATCTGTGCAATTACAAAATATAATTTTTTTAGTAAATATGAATACAGAAAAACATTCACTGAGGGGAGAGAGGACTGTGAGGAAAGTTGTTATACTTGAAGATGAGGAGAGATTCTGATGTCCTCCACAATACATATCTCTAGCTATTTTGTTGGATTGGGGATGCAGTGGGGGAGAGAAACATGAAAAGAAAGTCTGTGTACATTCCTCTTGCTGCATGTAGACACCACACAACTAAACAATCTTCAGAGCATAAGGTTAAACAGTTCAAGTTATATATCTGAGAACATTGCTCTATTCCTGGAACACTCCCACGCATGCATGTTGTGGGGAGGCAATTTTCACCAATTTTCCCATTGTCCATTGATTTCTCCCAAAATCTGTACCAATGTGGGAGGCTACAGCAAAAAGAGATAATTGACAAAAATCTGCTTTCCACCCCCACATGAGTAGGAGGTTCTGGTGGACTCTGCAAACAGAAGGTCCCTTCCGTGAAATGGGAAGGGTCCTTCTATTTGCAGAAGGGCTGTGCTGAATTAAACTCATTACCAATCAATCATTCCATTATTTTTAGCTTATATTCTGATTACATCATTAAAAATATCCAGTGAAACTCATAACTCATCTGATGCATGACATTCTGTAAGCCGCCCTGAGGCTTTGGCGAATGGGGCGTCCTAGAAATTTTCTAAATAAATAAATAGAATAACCCTAAATTTGTTCACAGTAACCACACAGTTCCCTCTAGAATTCATTATCTAAATTAATACTTAGCTTTCAAACATCTAGCATGTTCATCTCCATGATGCTTCTTTATTCCATCAGAAATGCTATTTCCAAAAGTACATCCTTAATAAACCAAATATTCATAAGGCTGTAGCCTAGCCTGGCAGATTAGTTAATGAATATGAAGGACACCTAGCATTTGGTGAAAAATGCACGGGCTTTATTGAAGAATTTGCAGCTCCAGCACAGAATTTGGGTTTTGTTTTGGCACAATGCATTAAGTACCCTGATCATCAAGGTCAAATACAGCAGGAAAGATTCTAGTAATGTGACACCAAGCTGGGTTGGCTCAATATAATCCAAGAAATACCTATTCCATAATTCTTTGTGGCCCTTTCTCCTGTTACATTACCAAACCCTCCAGTATGTATCCATGATATGAGCTAAAAAGTCTGGGCTTCTCAACAGATTAATATAGCAGAAAATCTGCTCTTTGGGTGTTACTGTAGGCTAGTAAACGAAATGGATCCCACATAGAGAGTCAGTATGGTATAGTGGTTAAGAGCACCAGACTGGGACTCAGGTGATCTGCGACCTGAGACAATGGGGTTAATTTGGGTCAGTCACAGACTCTCAGTCCAACCTACTTCACAGAGTTGTTGTGGGGATAAGAATGAGAGCAGCGGGAGGTGAATGATGCAAGCTGCATTGACTTCTTCAAAAGAAAAAAAGACAGGATATAAATGTAATAAATAGACAGACATCTGCACATAGATATCTGTGTGGGCCAATCTTCCCTAACCTGAAGCCCTCATAAGAGTTGGATAATGAGATTCATAGGCTAACAGGTATGAAGGCCACCAGGTTGGAGAAGCTGGTGCAGACAGTGTAGGTATGGAACAAAATTGTATCAGTATCATGTAAACAAGTGATTTATCCAACACAAAGTTCATCATGATGGCCACATTCGCACATGACCTTAAGCAATCTGGTTTGCCATATATAATAAGCAAGTGATCACTTAGCACAACAGACTAAGGAACTTCTGACATGGTTTGTTCACCATTTTCTCTGAACTGGAAACTTTAGCTTGTTGCTTTCCTAATTTCCGGATAATCAAAAAGGTTACCAATATATAAAAATCTCATGATTTTGAATTATTTGTCTATTGCCTTCTTGCTCACTATTTAGATCATTGTATCTGTCTGAAGTCCATGGGATCGTGATGGATAGGGCATGAGTTGTCTGAAATGTCTTAGTATTTTTCTCCTGAAAACAAGTTTATACAACATTTTCTTTCTCAAAGGACTGATTTATAAATTATTATAAAATTATTGTGATCATTATTTTACATAGGTATTTTAAATGAATGTTTAAAAAGAATTGTCTGGGGAATGCTGGGAGTTTTAGGTTCTTCTTCTGTCTAAACATGCATAGAATTGCACCTTTAGGTTGTAATCTCTTCAGATGTGCCCTTGATGCTCATAAGCTCCCAGACTGAAGAACATCATTGCAGAACAGAAGGCATAATAGAGCCAGTGTGGTGTAGTGGTTAAGAGGATGGGACTGGGACACAGAAAGTCTGGGTTCTAGTCCCCGCTCAGCCATGGAGCCAACTGGGTGACTTTGGGCTAGTCACAGGCTCTCAGCCCAACCTACCTCACAGGGCTGTTGTTGTGGGGATAAGATGGAGGAGGAGAATGATGTAAGCTGCCTTGAGCCCTTTGTAGGAAAACAGGCAGGATATAAACAAATAAATAAATAAGCAAGCCATTTTCCACTTCCCCTCTCCTGCATTTTAGCTACAGAACTGTTTTTGGTCATCTGGTTGAAATGCTTCGTAGGGGTAGGGAAGGAGGCCGAAGTGCTGCCATGATATTTGGTACTTCAACAATCCCAGTTTCATTCCCTTTTTTTTACCACTTTTTCAAAATTGATTTCTGAACCTCGAAGAGGCAGCTAGTGTGGTTATTTCTGCACCTGCTGCATTGTGAGGAGAGGGACTAGCACATGGATTCTCAGTGCTGAAATCAGAGCTCCATTTCCAACCTCGGATCTGGGAATGCAATGGATCCTATGGGCCCCTGGACAATCACTAGGGGGGCATAGGGTCATTCTCTTAATCTTTGTGACCCTGTAAGGTTGATCCCCATAAAACTTTGTTTCAGGAATTGGACAGATCCATTCAGCATGGAGATAAACCTCTGCTAGCCCACCCAACCTGCATTGCTTAGTTCTTATTATAATCTGGCTGAGTTATAGGGAAAGGAGACTCAAGAACTAGTTTGAAGGTCATGCATTCTGAATTCCATGGACCTCGTGGCCTCCAAGGACGTTCCTTTAAAACAAGAACACCTGTGGCTTGCTATATCCTTATCTCAGCTTGCACAGCTGTAAACAAACAGTTTTGTAGCAAAGTTATTAAATGTCTCAAGGGTTCTTTCCTTCAAAGGAAACTGTTTCTACAACAACTACCCCGACTGTTGTGCAGCTCAGAGAAGAGTCATCAAAACAATACTTTGGATTCTCAGATTCTGAAATGACAATGATCTATTTTAAGAGGCCTCATGAAAGCCTAGGTTTTATATAGCTTTCTTAAGTAAACATAAGAACGGTAATAGGGAAGCTGCATACACACCAAGTTGTAACTTGCTTTCTTTCCAACAGTTAAATGATCCACAGTATTTAAAAGTAATTCCCTAGAGATATTCTTGTATCTATTCTGTGATTTCCACTGGTTGGTATCAAGTAGTGAAAAGCTTCTGTATCAAAGCAGAAATCTTTCTAGAGTTCAAAAAAGTGCTAAGCTGCACATGTTGAGTCGCACTGTCAGTTTCATGCACTGAGGAATGAGAGTTACACATATACACACATTCTGCTAGCAGATTGGAAATGAATGCACATTTTTTGCCTTTTCAGAACAAGATTGGAGCTTTTGTGACTACTGTGAATGCATACCAAGCCCAGCCAGAATGTGCAGACTTTGTATTTCTGCTATTTCACATGGCGTTGAACCAATTCATGCAGATGAACATGATGAGGGTTGCATTGTTCTGCAAATGTGTTCCAAAATGGTCTAAATGCACTTGTGAAAACCCCTGTAGGCTAGCAACATGTGTTGGGAACCAAGGTTCTTCTTTTGCACATTCAAATGCCACAGACATTTTTCCTTGCAAAGTATCCTTTATTGGACAAAAAACACAAAGCTCCCAGAACGATGCTCTGAGTGAACGTGCACAGAGTGGTTTGTTAAAACCAATTTGCTATTCACCCCCAGGAACTGTCCTTATGAACATACCTGGGCCCTATCCCTTTGGGAGGGGCCTTTTGAAATCAAGCACACCTCCTCTCCATGTGCCTGTCCTCTAAATTGGGTCACCCTCCTCTGCTGGTGATGCATCATGGGGACAAGAGCTGTGCTCACCTCTCCTGAGTCTGAGAAACTCCTCTGTTCTGCGTCCCCTCTGACCAGATGTATATCCTGGTTATTCCCAGAGACTGCCTGCCTACCAGGAGTCTGGCCTTGAGATAAGCATCTCCACTTCCCCCATCTCAGTGTCTGCAAGTCCCACATTCCCAGGGCCGCTTCTGATCTTCACACCCTTCTCCTTCCAATTCTGATCCTTCTGAAGCTTGCGTAAGCTTAAAACAAACTTTCCATCATCCAAATGTGACAATTGTGTAAGATTTGCATAAATATTTTTTACTCCTATAGCTGTTTTAGTATTTATTTTGAACCTTACAACAATAAAGTATGTTTAAGTGTCTCCTCACATCTCTCTGCATATCTTGCTTTTCAGCCACAAAGATTTCTGGAGTGGCTTACATACAAACAAGTAAAATAATCATCTGTAGGCTTAAAATCCCCTATGTTGTTTAACATCTACATGAAACTGCTGGGGGAGGTTATCCAGAGCTATGGACAATGGTACCAACAATATGAAGATAACACTCAGCTCTGCCTCTCTTTTTCATCAAAGCCAGGTGAGGCAGTGGCCGTGCTGAATCAGTGTCTGAGCATGGTGATTGGACTGAATGAGGTCCAACGAACTGAGACTCAATCCAGTCAAGTTGGAAGTGCTCTTAATGGGTTTTTCACCTGTCTAGTTGGGTGATATCCAACCGATTCTGGATGGGGTTGCA